TCTTCCATCTATTGGTTCACTCCCTAAATGCCTACAACAGCCAGCATAGAGCTAGATCAAAACCAGGACTTCAATCCAGGTCTCTCATGTGGGTGACAGGGACCCAACTACTAGAGCCATCGTTTGCTACTGCCCAGGGTACACATTAGCAGAATGCAAAGGTGAGCTGGGACTTGAACCCTCATATTCAGACATGGGGTGTAGGCTTCCCAAGCAGGGACTTGATCCCAGGCACTCACACCTGGGGTACAGGCAGGCTTCCCAAGCTGTGCCCACACCAGAAATGTTTTTTTGTTTTTTTTTTAATTTGTTTACTTATTTATTTGAAAGGCAGAGTGATGGGGGAGAGGGGGAGAGAAGGAAGAGTCAGGAGAGAGACAGACAGACAGACACAGAGAGAGAGCAATCTATTTTCTGTCTACTGGTTTAGTTCCTAAATGGCCACAACAGCCATGACTGGGCAGGCTGAAGCCCGGAGTCAGGAACTCCATGTAGGCTTCCCAAATGAGTGGCAGGGACTCAAGCACTTGAGCCATCCATCATCTGCTGTTTCCAAGGCACGTTAGCAGGGAGCTGGATCAGAAGCAGCATAGCCTGGCCACAGTTCAACACTCTGAGATGGTACACAGGTGCCCCAAGCAGCAGCTTAACCACCAACCCACCCCCCAGAAGTTTTTTATAAAAATACCTGAGCTTCCTTTTAATTCCCTTGATCCAGGAATCCCACTCAAGATAATTAATCCAGGAATGCCATTCAAAAAGAAAAATCTTAAATAAAAACATAATTATAGGTATATTACTCACAGCGCTAGAAGTGATGTGAACATAGGAGAAATATTTAAGTAAATTATATCAGTGTCTATTCTACTGTTTTAAATTGGTTAAGTGCATGCCTATGTAGAAACATGGGAGAGTATTTTTTCATGTAAATAAAGCTAAAAATAAAATTCATAACCGATGTTATTATAGTCTATATCCAACCCATGCCTATGAGAATAGAAATGGGCAAAGAATAAGAAGAAATAAAATAGATTATGTTGAAGTGATATATTTCAACTTGTTTTATTTTATAATATTTCAAAGTTCTCTCAGTCCTAAAATGTTTTCATGTAATGACTCTCCCAGACCATGCCTTAAAGAATCAACAGATGCATTGAATGCCTCTAGTCTTGAAAACATGTGAACATCTATTTATAGAGAGAGTAACAAACATCTTTACATTAAATAAAACAAATTTATACTTTTATTTTGGCATATCACATGACAGGATACAAGGTGACGTAATGGGAAAAGACTCCACTGTGAGTTGGCACACCAAAGCCCCGGCCCCACCCCTCCACATACACAGGAGACCAGGCAGAGGCCATGGCAGCTCGCCAGCCTTCGGGTTCCCAACCAGAACACCACAGGGAGGACATTCACCCCAAAGGTCTCTCCTTGTTTTTAAAGTATTTGATTCCGACTTTCTAAAAGTAGTAACTTTTCATCCACTGCCTAATTCAGGGCTAGCTCAAAAATTAGAGGAAAATCAGACCATAATGTGCTCTTGGCTTTGGCTAATAAGGTAAGACAAATGCACGGTACGAAAACGGACCACCACCACAGCGGCGATGATGCCATTTCTTCAGCACCTTGTGTTCTGGGTCCGGTGGCCACCCTATGAAATGGCTGCCCTGGGGAAGTTATGTTCCAAAGGGAGGGGTGGACATAGATAATAAACAACATAAAGAAAGAACACATTTCATAAGTCACATAGTAGCAAGTGTTGAGGAGGAAAATAAACCAAGAGAGGATCATTTCCAGCTCTCTGCTATGGCCTGGGAAACCAGCAGAAGGTGGCCCAAGTCCTTGGGCCCCTGCACCCACATGGGAGACCTAGAAGAAGCTCCTGGCTTCAGATCGGCCCAGCTCCAGCCATTGCAGCCATTTGGGGAGTGAACCAGTGGATGGAAGGCCTCTCTCTCTTTCTCTGCCTCTCTGTAACTCTGCCTTTCATATAATAAGTAAATAAATCTTTTAAAAATGATCATCATCACACCTGTAAGAAGGGCATGTCTGTGCATGTGTGTCTCATGTCAGAAGTTCATATTTTTCACACCTTTCCCCACCACCACTATCACAAATTATTGATTCGAATTGATCTTATTTTTGTTGTCTCCCTCTCTCCTGAAGATATGATCATGGATCAGTGTGGCCACCAAAAGAAAAATACCCTAATTCTCCATGAAGTGAGTTCATGAAGGACATGAGTGAATAATTTGCTAAACTAGACACAAAATCAGTCTACTTATTAGAAATGGTTAGTTTACATTGGATTATGGATGTGTAATATTCTGAGAAGTCATGACACATAAAATGAAGTTGGGTCAGTGGATATGAAGAGTCTTCAAAAAATTCTTGAAGATGTATGTTATAAAACAAATCATGCATGGATTTCCAAAATTCTTGCACCAAAAGAAATGTATCTTGTAATTCTATTTCCTATGAACTTTTTGAAGCTTCCTTGTCTACTCATCATAAGAATATGTTGACCAGATTGTATTACTTAAAACACCAGGTTAGGAAGTCTGACTTTCTCACTCTATGATGAGATAAGGTGTTTTATTTAAATCACTTAACAGTTCACGAGAAGAAATTGTTGTAACTCACTTGAAAGCTCTGGCATATAGACGTCCCGTCTCCATTCCTTTTGGCTTTTACTGGACATGAGGCTGCTAGTCCAATAAGGCAACAAAGAAACATAAACAGAAATGGAAAGCAAAATAAACAGCAATCTTGATCCCACTGGAAATAATCATAAATTTTCAAATGCAATCTTGGCTACATCGTAAAAGGATTTTCTTGTTCTGTTTGCATAGCCGTATTTTATTCCATTCTGAACTTACCATGACTTTTCCTAGAAATTTTTATTGTACATCAATCTTACTGGTCCAAAAAATCTTTTACAAAAAATTTCTCTAGCAGATTGAGCTGTTTATAGGCCATGAGGCATCTGTGTTACATATCCAAAGCTATAGTTTCTAAACAACAGGCAATTCCAGTGGAGAATTAGCATAATTCCTAGGAGTGGTGTTTGCACAGATGTACTGCATAGACATGCTGACAGTGCTCTCAATATTGGCAATGCAGGCTCACCCTAGAGATTCTAGGTAGCTTGTATGTTGTCATGGCTTTGTTGATTAATCCTCTACATTAAGTTACATGACCTGGGTACCCATGTGCACCTGTCTCCAATGCCTTGATCTGTTTTACAGCCTCCTTCTGGCACTTTCTAATGAAAGCTAAGAAAAGAAAATGTTTCCTTTCCATTACAACAGCAACAAAAATTTCAAGAATGAAGCCACAAAAATACCATGCCATGTTACAGGTCTTTTCTTAATAATACGTCTGAAACTAGTTAGCATCAGACCATCACATGAGGTCAGAGAGCATAGAGTTTCTAAACCAAACCTCCTTTACACCTAACATTTATGTGTGATTATTATCATAAAAATATTAAGCAATAAGGTAAGCATAAATTCTTAATGCCAGATAGTTTCTTGATTGACATATTTGTTCAGTTACACTGATATCCCATACTCTGTAGGAACCATTCTTTCCTCTTAAATTGTCAGCCCTAAAGATTAGGAACCAAGGTGTCTTTAAGTCAGTTTTATATACTCTAGCACAGGACCAAAATTTAAGAGATACAGTCATTTGTTGACATTTACCAGAAATATTTACCAAAACTGCCATCTTGAAACTAGCCCACTTTGATCTGATTTCTTTATTTCTGTGAGAGACAGAGACACAGAGAGCTCCCATACACTGGTTCACTCCTCAAATGCCCAAAATGCCCCCTACCTCATCCCTGACGCCTGGATCCTGGAGCCTGATCTCCCCCTGGGGTACAGAAACTCAATCACTGGAGCCATCACCTCCGTTTCCCAAGGTCTGCGTTAGCAAGAAGTTGAAGTCAGGAGCCAGCACCAGGAATCCAACCACCCAGGCACTCCAATGTGGGACACGGGCATCTTAGCCATGAGGCCACGTACCCACCCCACACGATCATATTTTGAGGATAGAAGTGATGGAACAAAGACACAAGCCTCGCCATTCTTGCTCATTGCCCAAAAAGATAAACTTTGGAATGTATTCCTTGCCCTTGAATCTCATCTGGGTCTTACACCCTATTAAGATTCATACCCCACCCCCTGATTCTTTCCCAGGTTCCCAAGGCCCTGCATGGCCACCTGAAAGACCTGTTCCAGGAATTCACCTCCACCTGTTACCCCCACCCCTAGCCCTCCTAAAATATAGAGACTTGGCCTCCTGGGGTCAGAGCCTTCTGCCGCGTGCTCCATCCATGTGCACGTTGGCAGTTGGTCACCCACCTTTACAGATTGATTTTCGCTGAATAAATTCAGTCTGGCTGTAGACTCGCATACCGTCTCCTCTCAATTCTGTGCTGTGCTTTTCTAACATTTGTGGTGCCCCGTGTGAAGAGGCTCCAATCTGCAACTCTTTTCCTAACAAGAAGAACAGAGAAAACAATAGAGTATCTGTGGTCACTACTCCCTAAGGATAGGTGGCCCTGCTTCATGGTATTTCATGTGTTCCTTTATAAATATATTAAGAAGAAAGAGATATTCCTGGAACAAGTACCAGCAGCTCTCACGACCCCTCCCTCCCATCATTGAGTTTTCTCCCAGCTTACAAACAGAGACATACCTATTCATTGCTGCCATGCTCATAATTCTCTAGAGATCCTGCTAGACCACAAATAAAGGTCTCACACTCAGGCCTGCCAGACAGCTGCTTTCCAAATGGAAGGAGCTCCTAAAGACCCCGCTTGTTTTTCACACCAAGACACAAAAAAATTCCTACAAAACCAATGGCAGCTCACTGGCCAAGGGGAAGAATTTTCCAGCATTTTTTTAGTTGTTGTTATAATGGAAATAGCTCTAAAATTTCTTCACAACTTGATTTCATCACCCCATTTTTTTCTTTTTTCCTTCCAGGTACAGAGCGGTTGCCTCCTGGAGTCGTGTCCAAGGAATTGGGATTCCCTTGATTACAGCCATTGAAATCGTCTCCATCTGGATCCTTTCCTTTATCCTGGCCATCCCTGAAGCCATCGGCTTTGTCATGGTGCCCTTTGAGTACAGGGGTGAACAGCACAAAACCTGTATGCTCAATGCCACCTCAAAATTCATGGAGGTACGAATAGTTTGTAAAATGTGTTAAATCCACTCAAGATAGAAAGTGACTGACGCTTAGAATTAATTAAGGGATGGGGGTCTTTATACTTAATCATCATAAGACATGTTGCATCTTCTCAAGGCCAGATACGGATTACTCTGTCAGTTTAGTCAAACACACTTCAGCTGCGTGCAACACAGATGTTAAATCAGTGTTTATCTTCCTGAAGGCACTGTGGTGCTTACCATTCTTATATTGTGCAGCAGTAGACACAATTATTGTGCTGCACCAAGATAAGAATTCTGCAACTTACTAAGAAAGAGGGACTGGATGTTCAAGAGGACTTCAAAAAGTCTGTGGAAAAATGGAATTAAAAGATAAATTTAGGGGCTAATGTTGTGGCACAGAGGGTAAAGCTGCTGCCCGCGATGCCAGCATCCCTTATGGGCGCCGGTTCATGTCCTGACTGCTGCGTTTCCAATCCAGCTCCCTGCTAATGCTCCTGGGAAAAGCAGAAGAAGATGGCCCAGTGTTTGGGCCCCTGCCACCCACGTGGGAGATCCAGATGAAGCTCCTCGCTCTGGCTTGGCCCAGCCCTGGCCATTGCTGCCTTCTGGGGAGTGAACCAGTGGATGGAAGATCTCTCTCTCTCTCTCTCTCTTTCAAATAAATAAGTAAATTTTACTTTAAAAGGTAAATTTATTTTGGTTCAAACAAGTTTTAAAATCCAAGATCATTTTTTCATAATATACATTTTCCATGAACTTTTTAGAGACCCTGCATGTGCATGGATTAAAACTTGTTGTACCAACATAAACATATCTCTTAATTCTACTTTTCATAACCTTCTGAAGTACTCTCATATGTAGATAATACTGTTTGCTTTTATACTACAGCTTTTCTTATTCTAGAATATGGAATATAATTTCCATCTGAGAGATACATGGGTGCCTACTTTGTGTTACTTGGGGAAATTGCACATTGCTCACTTATATTTTTTTAACTTTGTGTTTACTAAAAAAAGTAGGGTGTAGTACTAACATATTAGCATGGATTCTATGTCCAGTAAACAAATAATATAAATACAATACATACAGTATATAAATACAATAAAATTGCCAAACTATTTTTTTAAAGATTTATTTATTTGAAAGACAGAGTTACAGAGAGAGGTAGAGTCAGAGAGAGTGAGGTCTTCCATCCTCTGGTTCACTCCCCAGTTGGCCATAACGGCCAGAGCTGAGCTGATCTGGAGCCAGGAGCCAGGAGCCTCTTCCAGGTCTCCCACTCAGGTGCAGGAACCAAGGACTTAGACCATCTTCTACTGCCTTCCCAGGCCATAGCAGAGAGCTGGATTGGAAGTAGAGCAGCTGGGACTTGAACCAGCACCTATATGGGATGCCAGCACTGCAGGCTGGGGCTTTAACTTGCTGTGCCACAGTGCTGGCCCCGCCAAACTTTTTAATAAGTGTTTTAGCTTAAATTCAGTTATTCTTTAACACACCTAACCACATTAAAATTTCTCTGAAAAAATTAATTACAGGATTGGCTAGATTGGAAAACATGATTAAAATGCATATTTCCTTTGCTAAACTAGTTACACGTGGACTAAGGAGGAAAACCAAAAGGATAACTATTTCTCTTAAATCAGCATAATTTAGTGCTTTGAAGTAAGTTTCATGCAGCTCAGATTCCACACATAATCATTTACAGACATCTCCAGGTACATTTTCTTAAGTTGGAAAATTCAAAAAATTAGTGGTTTTGCAGTTGACCAGTTATTCTGCAAGGAAACTCTTATTTTAAAAAATTAAAAGCACTCAGGAAAACTGCCAATCTGGCAATCTTAAAACTGTGGTTCTTCTATTATGGACTGATTTTTAATAAGGTCAGTCTCCACAGTGGAAAACAAGAGAGACAGTAGGAGGTTGTCCAAATCTGGGCCATGTGAATAGGCAATCCAGAGATTGCAGACAAATCATCAGAGGAAGGAGGCTGCTACCAGTCTTCAGAGCAACACAGAGTCCAGGGCTTCCTCCTTCAGGATGGCTCTCCTCTCCTAAGTGTTCATGCAAAGAGGGCTGCTGTTCACACGGGAGGCTTACAGGGTGGCAGAGGAGGGTAGGAATTGAAGGAATAATATTATAGCGCTCATTCCAAGACTGAAGTCCTGTTCTTTTTCTCTATTTCCTCCCATTTGTCCACTTCTACTTTGCCCTACCCTAGACCGACCTGAGGCACTCCCACATCCTTGCTGGTGGCCCCCTTCTCAATAGGCCTCTGCCCGGGAGGGGGCAGGGGACTCCATCCCAGCCCTTCTACAGCTGCGTCTGGGTCATTCACACCCAGCCAGCAATGCCTGGGAAGAAGGGGCAACAAAAAAGGAGTGCTTGTGTTGCACTTAAAAAAAATTTTTCAGGGCCCTTTGGATTTTAATTTTTCTTTCAAACTTCAGGACTGAAATCCATCCACAGTGTGATAGGGATATGAAAATATTTGTATAAGCAGATTTGAATAAACTAATTCTTTTCAGAGTTTGCACTTAACCTGAGGGGTCTGTGAGCTTGGATGAGAAAGAAATTATGTGTTTATTTTCACTGACTTCCAACTGAAATTTATCATTTCCTTTGATTAAGAATATACCAAGAAACAATAATTGTATTTAAAAGTACCATAATTTTTTCACTAATAGAAATAACACACATTTTACACCCCATAACATTTGTACTCACGTGTCAAAATGTCATAGACTCACTACTACTCCAAAATTCTGGTGGTCATTGGAACCACCTTTGTTATTTTAAGAAAACACATGTATTACTGTAGTGGAATTTAATGGCTGTGTTTCAATATAATTAGTGTCTGTTATAATCATTATATATATATACACATATATGTATACATATAAATAATATCCTCAGAAGGGATTATAGTGTTCACCAAACTTCCAAAGAGGTCTGTGGCATGAAAACAGTTAAGCACCCCATCCTCAAATGTTTTTGTCCTCAGAAACCATTTTTAGATCATTTTAATAGACACGTTATAAATGTAGCTCACGGGACCTCTTTCTATATTCAGAAACCGTCCAGTTTTTCACAGAGCAGCAAGCTTATTTTTTTACTGTGGGAACTGAGATATTACGGGAGGCAGCATTATCCTTAGTAAATAAACAATCTGCAGGCCGTTGTAAGGAAGGAACAAGCATTGCTTCCCAAGTTGGTGATTAATTTAGTGGGAAGAAGAACTTGGAGATCATTTTCCAACTTCCATTTTTATAGGGCATTAAGTTTCCTCCTTTTAAAAGATATACAGCTGAATAATCTTGGTATTTACAAATCCTGCTCACTCCCAGGAGATAATGCTTAAATGTGCCTGCAGATAAGGTATGCGACCTCAATGGCTTCCAGGTGGTAAGTATTAAAAGAGGGAGAAAGAGCATAGTTATTGATGGCTCAGACTGGCTGGGTTTGAGGTCACATAGCTGGCATACCAGGCAAAGGGTTAACTCCCATTAACCAAAGCTACACAGATAAGCCATTCATAACCTTCACTGTGTCCAAACAATATGTTCACTTTCAGCACACTTTAACCACAATAGCTAAAAGTGAAGCAGGCACTAGCAAAAGTTTGGAGCTCATCAGTAAGGAAAAACAGGCCTCCAATCATGTTTTATGGGCTTTCAAAAGAAATTCTTTATTGACTGGGGCTCTTCCGTTGTGTAACTGAAATCAACTTGAGTTTATAAAAAGTATCCTTGTTGGAATAATCTTTAGATGCTGTTCCTTCATGTGCTATTATAAACCCAGGGTAACTTCTGGAGTTTCAAAGCTGACTGAGCTTTGAGCACCAGCACAGGCCCACTCGTTATGTGAGTACTTCAAAAAGTTTGTGGAAAATGGAATGAAAAGTTTATTTGGGTGCCAAAACTTCCTGAAATCCATGCATAGTCTTTTCATAACACTTCCCATGAACTTTTTGAAGACCCCACCCCCACCCCAGACGAGCAGAGAACGTGAATATACAAACATATCTTTCGGCCATGTGAAGATCTGGAAGCTCCCAGAGGCATTGCACAGTTGGCTTACGTTACTCTGCCCCCTTCTTCACAGTTCTACCAAGATGTGAAGGACTGGTGGCTCTTCGGCTTCTATTTCTGCATGCCCCTGGTGTGCACCGCAATCTTCTATACCCTCATGACTTGCGAGATGTTAAACAGAAGGAATGGCAGCTTGAGGATTGCCCTCAGTGAACATCTGAAACAGGTGAGTCTGCTAAGATCATGAAAACATGGCCAAGGCTCTGTTGTCCTTGACAGCAACAGACTGACAAATATGAGTACGGTCAGGCACCACATAATAATGTTCTTGGTCAATGACACTTGCATAAGGGATGGTGGATTATAATAGGTGAAAAATTCCCATTGCCTATGCTTTTACTGTGTCTTTTCTAGGTTTAGTTTGTTCAGTTACACAAATACAATGTTATAGTTGCCTACAACAATCAGTAAATTAATATATACTGTACAGGTTTGTAGGCTAGGAGCAACACGCCAGACCATCTAGCCCTGTAAGTATACTCCATGATATTCATGCAATGACAAAATCACCCAATTACACATTTCTCGAAATGTATCCCCATTACTAAGTGACTAACGACTGTATTAGATTTAGCCTGGCATCCTAGAAATCTTATTATCTTGTAATTCTTTTCTTCAAAGTTACAGTACTGGGAACTTCTTTAGTGAAATGAGAGTCTGCCAGTGAGACAGGTGGTCCCAGAAGCTGGGCCCAAAGAGAACAGAATAATTCATTGATTGTGCAGGGAGTCCATGTCTAAGTGGGTGCCTATGCAATGAACTAGGCTTGGCGTTGTGCCAAGACTAGAAGAAGCCTCGGACCTCCTTCCATTGCAGGTGTTGCAATCTTGTAGAAATAAAACTCAAACATGAAACAACTGGAAAGCAGTCACAGGAGTGTTCAAAGTAGCCTGTGCTATAGAAAGCAAGGGAGGTTATGAGATAGTCACAGGGAAACTATTGCTGGACGTGGGAGATTGGACAGGGCCTTGGAAGAGCCATGGGATTTAGTGAGGAAGAACAGGAGTCTGGTTAAAACAAAGAGTGGGCATCATGTATGAGGGAAGTGGGAAACAGGAAATGAACCTCAGTAAAGCAACATCGACAGTAAGACTCTTGATAGGAAATGGGCTCAGAGTTCTAGAAGACATTTTCAATAGGAAGCTAATCTTGGGACCTCCTGGTAAGCAAATAAAACAGTTAAAACTTCGGGCTTAGAGGGAAAAACAGACTCACTGGCTCTGTGACCTTGGTCAGACTGCCTCATCTCTGAGCCTGTAGTTTCTTGTAAAACACATGTAATAATACATCCTGGGGCTTACCTAAAGCATGTGAGCTACCTAATAGTTCCCATCTCCTGGTAGGCACTCAGCAAACGTTAATTTACATTAATTCAAACAGGAATACAGACTGCTGGTAATGTTTCATCACAGCAGAGAAGTATATGAGGATGTCTAACCACACCAAAAGTTCATGTGAGTTGAGGCCTGTTTATCTGTCTTTTATGCAATTACCGTACACAGCCTCATTCCTCATCAGCAACTCTTTTCAACTACTCTACTGCTTTTCCTGAGCCTCAGCTCCCCATCTATAAATTGAGGATAATAATATATGAATCAGTGTTACCATGTTACCATGAGAATCAAAGGAATGAATGTGCATGCATGTACTTTGTAAAATCTCACGTAGCACACAAATGGTAGCTATTATCTTTTATTGACATTCAGCAGGAAAATTGCATTGAGAAACCTCAGTATGACTTTGTTCAGGCATGAATGTTTCAAATACTCTAGAAGTGAACATATTAAGCACGTGTTACCTCTCATTCCTGCAATGGAGTTAATTTAGAATGGATTTGTAAAAAAAAAAAAAAAGTGTTTTAATGTTGATTTTTCTGTTGCCATCATATTGCATGTGTACCTTCTCTGAAAATAACTAAATAGGGAATGGGAACAATAACATACTTTATATTGCTATCACAGTTTAAGTTTTGAAAGAGTATTTGATTCCTCTAAGCATCCTGTGAAGTAGGTGGGTCAGATATTATCCTTATTATACAGGTAGTTAAGAGGTTTACTTAACTAAATGAGATAAGAACCAACAGATACCAGACTGTCTCGGCAATGTATTGATATTATTTGTTGGAATGGCAGAGTGACAGAAAGGGGAAAAAACAGAGAGATCTTTCACCCACTGGTTTACTCCCCAAATAGTTGCAATGGTCGAGGCCATACCAGGCCAAAGCCAGCAGCCTGGAACTCCATCTGGGTTCCCCCACATGGGTAATAGGGGCCCAAGTACTTGGGCTATCTTTTGCTTCTTTCCCAGGTGCATTAGCAGGGAGCTGAAGCAGAAGCAGAGCAGCCAGGATTCGAACCAGCACTCTGATATGGGATGCAGGCATTGGAAGCAGTGGCTTAACCTGCTGTGCCACAATACTGGCTGTTTCTACTTCTTAAAAGGCTTACCTTTAGTGCTGTCATTGTGGCACAGCATGTTAAGCCACCACCTGTGACACCAGCATCCCATATGAGCGCTGGTCTGCCTGCTCAGCTTCTAACCCAGCTCCCTGCTAACACACATGGGAAAGCAGAAGATGGCCCATGGCTTCAGCTTCGCCCAGCTCGGGGAGTAGACCAGGGGATGGAAAATTACTCTCCTCTGCCCTCCGCTCCCCTTCCTTCCCCTCTCCTCTGCTCACTCTCTGTAACTTTGCCTTTCAAATAAATCCTAAAAAAAAATAAAAATAAAAAAGTCAGAGTGCACTTGAAAAGAAACCTCTTCCCCCATGCCCTGCCTTTCTACTGTTCTGAGTGCACTCTTTCTCTATACACAAAAAGACCAGTTTCAAAGAGCTGCCATCCCTGCAGATCGGAGTTCTCTGTTTCCTCCCTTAGTCAGTGCCCCACAGCCATATCCCCACCAGCCCTGTAACCAGGAAAGGGTAAAGAGCTCCGAGTTTGTTGGGCTAAAACAGTAATTTGTGACAACTGCCATGGGAGATATTTGAATGGCTCCACTCATCATGTGAGTTTATTGTTGGCTTCCCTGAGTTAACGTTCCCTGCTTTGGGTTGCAAACCCTGTGTTTAGTCAACGTTACCTGGATGTGAACTGATCCCAGATGCACACATGTTGCATTTCACGTCCCTGGTTAGGCTTCTAAATGCATGCAGTCTAATACTGGAGCGTAATGCACACAGATGATTGGTTGCAGATAATTCCTGACCTACGTACGGGTCCCCTGATCCTGAGCTGAGTTGAGGCACATACACCTTCCATGGCAGTGGGGCTGGGGTCAGCACACTCCAGATTTTCTCATCAGCGCTGCCGGTAGCCCTTTATCCTCATCCCTCTGTTTGCAGGCACCATCTCTCTGGAGAAATGTCATGAGTAAAAGAATTTAAAAAGAGATTTCAGTGCTGGCTTTCTCCAAGGTCAGGATCAGGAGGAACCATGTTGCTTCTTCTGTTCTGTCTCCTACTCCTATTTTCCCCAAACCTCTTTGTGCACTCATCATTCATTTTCGTGTTCCATTCAGTCACCTTGCCAACTTTTAACTCACGTTTCCCCACACCCACCTACACCCACACACACTCAGCCCCAGAGTTGGCTCACTGCAGCCAGTTCCCACCTCTCTCTTGACCCTAATAACCAACTGGAAGCCAGCAAACCTCCTGGCAGCTGCCACAACACATCGTTAGTAACTCCTTGATCAGAAAGCTAGACTCAGAATTTAGCTTAAATTGTTATATATATATTTACTTGTTTGAGAGAAAGAAGGAGCTCAGGATTTTGCTGGTTTACCCCTGAAATGTTTGCAATGACCAGGGCCAGGCTGAAGATGGGAGCCAGGAACTCAATCCAAGTCTCCCACATGGTTGGCACGGACCAAACTACTTGAGCCATCAGTGCCGCCTATTAGGGTGTGCATTAGCAGGAAGCTGGAATCAGGAGCAGAGCCAAGCACTGAACGCAGGCACTCTGATATGAGATGCAAGTTGTCCTAACCAGATTCTTAGCTGCTCAGCTGAACACTCACCTGGGACTCAGAACCTTAAGGCAGAGGCCCTGGGAGGCAGTGCATTCTCCTGGCTCTTCTTGGAGCTATGTCCCTGAAGCCGGCTGCCACCTTATTGCATTGTTCTTTGACCTCGTGGAAGAACACTGAGTTTACTGTACTTTTTTTCCTCTTTCCTTTAGCGTCGGGAAGTGGCAAAGACTGTTTTCTGCTTGGTTGTTATTTTTGCTCTTTGCTGGTTCCCTCTTCATTTAAGCCGTATTTTGAAGAAAACTGTGTATGACGAGATGGACAAGAACCGATGTGAATTACTTAGGTATGACTTTGTGTGCCCATGAGGAAATGGGTTGTTCTGCTTTTTGTGTTTCAAGTACTTAACAAAACCGTTTTGTCTACATTATCAATAGCCCCCAAAATTAAAAATTTAAAAATCAACTCTTCTTCTTTACTGACATAGCCTGCACCTGCTCCCAAGGTGTGTGCCAGTCACAGCCAGTCATGTCTATACTCTTGGCACACCCCTCCTGAGGCTGTATGTAAGGGTTTGAGGGAACTAAGTAGGTGATCTGTTACCGTCTCACCATTGAAGCTGCCATTTTCAAAAATACGTTTACAGTTTACATTTGTACAATCTCTATAGGGTTCGGTGCAGTAATTCCATACATGTATACCATATGTTAAGATCAAATCAGGGTAATTAGCATTTCCACTTCACCACATATTTACCACTTCTATGTGTTGGGAAAATCAGGATTCCTCCAGTTACTTCAAAATACAACATGGGTTGTAGACCGTGATTATCCTGTGCTACAGAACACCAGGATGAATTTCTCCTTTCTAGTTATACTTTGGTACCTGCTAGCTAACTCTCTGTCCCTTCTGCCCCCTTACTCTCCTAGTCTCTGATGACCACCATTCTACTTGCTTCCACAAAAATCAATTTTTTTAGCTTCCACAAATGAGAACATGCAATATTTGTCTTAAACAAGCACTTTTTACAACTCCTAACTGTAAGAAATAGCTTCCGGGCAAGAAAACTGCTTATCCTAAGGATAAATGCCAGCGAGCAGGTTTTTAAGAGGTTGTTCTAATCATTCTGCATTATTTATTTTCCTCCAGCTTCTTGCTGCTCATGGATTACATCGGTATTAACTTGGCGACCATGAATTCATGTATCAACCCAATAGCTCTATATTTTGTGAGCAAGAAATTTAAAAATTGTTTCCAGGTAAGGCTATTTGCAAGCATTTTTTAAGGACAACCAAATCAGTCTATTAAGTAGCCAAAGGCATGGCCAATCCCACTTGGAATATTGCTTTAATCAGCTGTACTCTTTTTCAGTAGAAAAGTGGAAGCCATATTGTTGTTACCCAGAAAGAGGTGCAGATTGTTAGCATAGTAGGAAAGCAGCATCTATACAGGCAACATTTTCAGAGGTTAAAATTAAAAGGACATAATTACATGCCAGTTTAGTGCCATCTGTTGAAAAGAAATGCGCACATCTTACCTTCAGGCCACGCAGAGTACGGAAAACCTATTCACCCCTTCAATTGCATTTGCCTTTAAACAAAGTATCAACAGAACATAAACACTGTCGTTAAGAAAGTGATCCTTAAATGCTCTTTTATAATACATTTATTAATAGCCACTTGAAGGGAAAAATTGCCTATTGCTCTGGAAATCTGAACTACTATAATTTCCTTTGAAATCAGTTTTCTTCTGTTTTCAAACCTCCTTCCAGCCAAGCCAACCAGGTCTCCAGAAGCTGCAAGTGTATCTGTATCATTTCTCCTGTTCCTGGAATGACTTTAGCATGGGCTTAAATCCTAACTGGATTCTGTTATCTTGGACCAGGATGTTTAACTTTAGCTCTTGGTACATATTAGGCAGAGCAGCAAAGAGGTCAGGGCACTGGCTCTGGAAACAAACAGCCCTGCTGAACATGACAGCCCTGCACTTGCTGTCTGACCTGGGTCTGGCCAGTGTCCCTTCTGCTTCCTTAGTTCCTTGTCTATAAATCAGATGATCACAGCACCTATCTCCTAAGAAGGGTTTAAGAAATTAATGCATGTAAAACCCTTGAAGCAGTAAGTGCTCAATGTCAATTATTAGGGATAGAGAGGGTAAACACAGTAACTGGCCCCCTGGAACTCGTGATTCGAAAGGAGACAGATGTGTAGTAGCCAAAGAATCATACAAAGAGTTGAAAGTTGATATGGACATTTTTAGCCGCCTTATTTTTAGGTCTCTTTGAAATGGTTTACCAGGCACAAAATACTCTGTGTAAAAAGGACCAACATGCAGGCTATAACCAATCCATTTTAAAAGGTGGAAAACATTTGCTAATTAATTTATGTGTTAATGAAGGGAAAAGAGAAACTAAGGAACATATTCTCGGGAATTAGACGTATCTTTTGCTAGATCTTCCTAAAAAGGTGACATACAAAGGGAGAAATCTGGCAATCATGGATTCCGATTCCGGTTTTGCCTCTTAGTCACCTCCCAGGGTCTGGCTGTCCTAGAACTCACACCCAGAGTTGCCGAGAGGAGCAGAGGAGGTCCCTGATGCTGAGAGCCACCCAGGGGGTACCCCTCCCAGTCCTTACTATGCACACCCGCCCTAAGCCCTGAAGAACTCTGCTCTGGCCAACACTGCCTTGCACTTGACCAACAGATTTGCAGTGAAACCCAAGGGATTTCTTTGTGTGCTCTGAATGGAAAGTTGACTTCTGAGACGATAGCGGGGAGGGGAGCAGGCTCCATGCTTCTAGGAACCACTGAAGCTCACTGCCCTCCAACGTGTACAAACACTGACACGGGGATGGCAGAAGCAAGGCCTGCTTGTTTGGCCCGGAAGGAGTTGGTAGCTCCCGTTATTTACCGTCTGTTCCCTTTCCCAGTCGTGCCTCTGCTGCTGCTGTCACCAGTCCAAGAGCCTGATGACCTCGGTCCCCATGAACGGCACAAGCATCCAGTGGAAGAACCACGACCAGAACAACCACAACACAGAGAGGAGCAGCCACAAGGACAGCATTAACTAAGCTATCAGGAGGCAGCACGCGAAGCCACCCTTCCTGTCCCAGCAGAGAACCAACGACAAGCACCCATCTCTCCGGAAGTCTCTCCTCCGACCCCTTTTCCTTCACTCAGTCCCCTCCCCCAAGAAAAAGAGTTTTCTAGATGCTTTCCAAAACAGCATGGGGGGTGGGGTTATGCCCTCAAAGTCTATGAATCTGACCTCTGTAATCTACAAATCCTGCAAATTATCAGCACTAAAAAATGGTAGGAGCTGAGGGAGAGTGGAGACTGTCAATTGGAACCAGAAGGGTATTTACTACTTTTGCATGAAAATAATTTTCAGGTGCATGACTGGCTTTCAAGGCTGTTCCTTCCAACAGTCAAAAAGAACCAGTCACCACCCACATGTAGAGATTATGACAAATTTTTTAAATGAGGTGTTTTTTTTTTTTTTGGTCAAACACATTATGAGTTTAAATCATCTTTATTTGAAATGTCATTCATTGTCAATAATTTTTAAGACATAATAGTCTAAAAATGATCATTTGAGCTTATTTACACATAAAAAGAAAAAATGTTCAGGTGAGTGTTCAGTGTTTCTCCTGTCACTGTTTTATTTTTTTAAATGTGAATTCTAAAACTACAACAAATATAGGCACTGAAACCATAGAGAACCACATACAGCAATTGAATAGCTGCTATTCAGACAATTTTTAAGAAACTTCTATTTCTTTTTTAATGGGAGTTTCATTATAGATCTTAAACCTTTTTGTTAAATTCAAAAATAACACCTGGATAAAATAGTTTTATTTTTCATAAGCCCAATTTTTTCTATGTAAGTTTACATAAAATCAATATCGTGAACCAAAATTCACGTGTATGTGTCATGTAACTATGCCTGAGACTTTTAATACAAATGTATAGGAATCTAAAGCCAAAACTAGGAAAAGAATATCAAATATTTTAGAAGATTGGAAATTGAGATTTTTATAATAGTAACAAATAAACATATATAATGCATATATAATAGTCCTACTTCAGAAAGTTCATGGAAATGGAATAAAAAGATAAGCTGTTACATTGAGGGGTAAGACACCCATGTCCCAAGCTGGAGTGCCCGAATCTGAGTTGTTCCAACTCTGGCTCCTGACTCCAGCTTCTTCCTAATGCAGATCCTAGGAGACAGCAGGTGATGGCTCAAGTAATGGGGCTTTTGCTGCCCACATAGGAGACCTAGACTGAGTTCCCGGCTCCCAGCTTCAACCCCCATCCAGCCCCAGTCACTACAGGCATTTGGGGAGTGAACCAGTAGATGGGCATGTCCTCCATCTGCCTGTGTGTGTGTGTGTGTGTGCACAAATTTTTTGAAAAAATATAGAAAAAGAAGTTTATTTTTGGTACAAAAACTTTGAAATTAATGCATAGTTTTTTTTTCATAATATACATTTCCCACGAACTCTCTGAAGACCCTTTTATATATACATTATTTATATCCCTTTGTATTCTAATTTCTCTTAAAATGTTATCAGGCAGTAAGACTTTCTGGTTATTCCCTTTTCCATCTAAGAAGCACAATTTCCAAGTGGTCAGATGAGTTTATCATGTCAGTGAAACAGTTATTCCCAAATGCTACCATGAACTTACCATTTTTTACTTCTCTGATAATGAACCTTTATCCCCACCCCAGCCCCTACTCTTCATATGGTCACCATTTCAAAGGGCCCACAGCAACTTTTCCTGGATATTTTTCCAGATGTTTACAGACTGTGAGTATAGCAAAAAAAAAATACTTTTACAGTGTGTGTATATGTGTATATATGTATATATATATAAACAACTGTAAATTTCTTTTAGTGATTTTTCTGTGATTGTCTTCATGGAATGTATGTGTTGCTAGGCATGTGTGTGATGGCATGTATGGATTTAATCTAATAATAATACTCTGTTGTGCCAAATTACATATCTATGTGAATCTAGATGATTGTTCATCATGACAACTCGTCTCAGTCAGTGTTCACCTGTAAGACTTTGTGTTTATCAATCTTGTAGCCATGTTACTATTGCAAATGGAATATGGGAGGTAATATACAGTGGGATGAGCCAATGGTTAACAATATAGGACTTTGGTTGGTTGGATGATTGGTTTGATAAAGCAGTATTTGGGGTCATATTTCCTGTGCTGGAGCAAAATTCATTACGTTTTGAAGTATTATATTCTAATTAATCCTCAAAGTGATGGGGAGGTTAACAGTTGTCTGATGTGTCTCTGATTTATCATCAGATAAAGTACTGATGAAAAATTAGCAAAGCTAATTTTGGGGCCTTATTTTAGCAGACACAAGTAAAATAATATTGGGTTTCAGTTGCCTGGACTGTAGGGCTAAGAAATCCCACTCCTTTGTGTGTTAGTCAAATTCCATTATTCCACTGTTGCATCACAAGCAGTGATATATGCCTATAATAAAAGCCATAGGATCACACCACTTTGTTTATGCAATTATTTTTAAGATGCCTTGTTTTTTGCATATAAAAATTTTATTTTATAAACAGAAAATCATAGATTTCTGAATACCTACACTAGCTTTGATATGCATTTTGTTTATTGACTGGTAAATAAACATGGTTTACTGGTAAGAATATTTCCAATTTCTACCTTTACCTTATCTTTCCCACAATTAACTTTGTAGGAATGAGCCATAAGCCAAGGCCCTAAGTTGGCAGTGGTCCATAGGTATAAAATAAAAGTTTACAGAAGCCTCAAAAATGTCTCTTCATTTTGCATAGCTCTTCCTAGAACACGTTTGTTACATAATACCTATTGCAAATCTCTCCCTACAAATAGCCAAGTAAGCAATTTTAACTTTCTAATAGATACTTAACAGAATTTTATCTTCAGCCTGCTTTGTTGTACAGAACATTTAACTCTCCCAGTCCTTCCCTCATTCACCTTTCCAGTAAAAATTTTAAATATTATCTGAGAGGTAGAAACACAGATCTCCCATCCCCGGCTCATTCCTGAAATGCCTACAATGGCCCCAGCCACAGCCAGGAGCCCAGAACTCAATCTAGGTCTCCCACATGGGCAGCAGGAGCCCAGATAAGCCACCACCTGCTGTCTCCCAGAGTCTGCCTTAGCAGGAAGCTGGAGTCAGAAGCCAGAAATTGAATGGATTCCCTAGTATGGGCTGTGGTCATCTTAACCACAAGGCTAAATTCCCACGGCCTTTCCAGTAAAGTTTGTTGAGCATCTACTATGCACCAGGAATTCTTCTAAATAATGAGGAAATAGAAGTGAGCAGGGCAGGCAAAGTGCCTGCTCTAACACAGATTGCATTCTAGAGGAGTTAGGCAGTAGGCAGTTGCAGTCAATGAACACCATGTCAGACACCTTTGAGACTCATATATATCCAACTGCTTGACACCTCCAATTGGATCCAAAATGATGCTCATGATAGCGCCCTGCCTGTCCCACTGTAATATTCCTCTACTCAAAGACAATTGAATCTTTTGAGTTGTTCAGGGCAAAAACTTTGATATCATCTCTCATTCCTTTCTCTCACAACATCCACCCAACATCTCCATAGATTGTATCTTCAGAACCTACCCTGAACCTGAGCACATCTCTGTCTCCACTTTACCTCCCTAGTCCCAGCACCACCTTCTCTTGGCAGGACAACAGTAACCAGCTCCTATCATGCCTATTTGTTTCCAGCCTTTTAAAACCTTACTCTGACTGGAGCCTGTCCTCTCCTAGAAGTCAGTAGGTTAGGTTAGGCTACCCAGCATCCTCTGGTGATTTTTCTAATAGAACTAAGAAAGAAAGAAAGAGTCCTTTTCCCCCTGTGGCAGGGCTAAGGGTTATGCACCTGAGAGCTACTGGTCACCATGGTTTGAGTATCATGAAGAAAGTCAACCTGGACAGTCACAAAGAAGAAAAAAGCATTCAAGTCCTCAGTTCTGGTTTTCCCATGGCTTGGGTAAGACAGCACTTCTACCTTTTTGCCTATCCTAGTTAAATTTGGTTTTCTATTGCCTGCAACACACATATCCTAAGATCCTCCTATCCAAGTCATCTTGATTTATGTTTAGTAGGCATTTGAATTAATAGACTTGGTTTTTTTAGAGCAGATTTAGCTTGTAAGAAAAACTGAGCTCCAATTGCAGAAAGCCCCAAATGCCCTTTTCTTTCTGCTCTGCTAGACTCCCCTATTACTGGGTCTTGCATTAGTGGGGAGCATTGGTTACAGTTAATGAGTGTGTACTGATGCAATACTATTAACTCAAGTCCATAGTTTACCTTAGGGTTCACTCTTTAAGCCTACAAGCTGTGAGTTTTGACAGATGCATAGCCATCTATTTATCATCATGGTATTCAGAGACATTGCATCACCTAAAAATCCCCAGAGTTCCACCATTTCAGCCTTCCCACCCTGCCTCCCCTCTCAGTTGATGTCTTTACTCCATACAGAGGGCACGCCCACCATTACATTGTGCTAACTGCTGGGAATATGAAATTGGATGTTTAAATAAATAAATACAGTGACATGCTCAGTGGTGACTCAGCTGATGTGTGAAAGACACAACTGGGAGAACAGTCAGAATTCTTTTAACTTCAGCCGGTAAACACTGCAGACTATGTGTGGGGACCTCTGCTTCTACAGCTCTTAATTTAGTTAAATACATCACTGCTATGAGAATAGCATAATAGGCATATAGAAGGTACTTCAAATAATTCATGAAAATAGAATTAGAAGATATGATTATTATGCAAAAATATTCTAAATACGTACATATGGTTGGTCTTCAAGAAGTTCATGGAAATGTGTATCATGCAATAACTATGCATAGATTTCAAAATATCTTTGCACTTAAATTAACTTCTGTTAATTCTAATTCATTTTAATTACCATGAACTTTTTGATGCACCCTCATATTTTAGTTAACATAAGGATTACATCACTGGGGAACAGAATAATAATAAACAATATAGTATTCTCTCTCTACTATGATTTTTTAAAGTCAGTGAATAGTATTTTACTTTCCATTCAAAAATAAAACTACCCAATAAATTTAAAATACTTAAATAAAATGAAACAAGTTGGAGGTTAAGTCCAAGAAAGAGTCAAGAGAAATGTGAATCTTTGTTTGCTGCTATTGTTTTTAGTAGTAGCACTAGTGCATGATACACAACTGAAAACTAGTTATGTGTGGAGAGTGGGAAACACACTGGCAGTCTGTCCAAACCCCTCCAGGCTTGTGACTCCGAATCGCAGGTCCCTTCCTATGTCAGATAACCTAGGACAGCCAGGTCTATACTAATTTTCCTCGGGACTTCAAACAAGCAAAGTTGAAATAGAACACAAGTCTACCAAATGAAGTTACTGCTGTTGAAACTCTGGTAGAGTCTTCACATGAAAATTCCTAGTGGTTTTTAAAATAATCCTGCATTTGGGAAAACCTCTGTCACCCTTCCCTCTAGTACGAAGAAAACCCCAGCAACTGTATTTGGTCAGCACTCATAACTCTTTGTCTCATTTTTTAATTCCTAAAACTGAGAAGAAACAGGTCTCAGTTCTTAGAAAATAATCAGGAGTTGAAAATAACACAGGGCTGGCACTGTGGCGCAGCAGGTAAAGCTGCCGCCTGCAGTGCCGGCATCCCATTTGGGCACCAGTTCGAGTCCCGGCTGCTCCACTTCCAATCCAGGTCTCTGCTGTGGCCTGGGAAAGCAATAGAAGATGGCCCAAGTCCTTGGGCCCCTGTACCTGCGTGAGAGACCTGGAAGAAGCTCCAGGCTCCTGGCTTCAGACTGGCACAGCTCCAGCCATTGTAGCCAGTTGAGGAATGAACCAGAGGATGGAAGATTCATTCTCATTCTCATTCTCATTCTCTCTCTCTCTCTCTCTCTCCCTCCCTCCCACTCCCCCCCTTTCCTTCTCTGTGTAACACTATGACTTTCAAATAAATAAATCTTAAAAAAAAAAAAAGGAAAGAAAATAATGCTGTGACCACAAAGGTGCTTGTCCCAGAAACCATGGTACTAGACTTCATTTTTTGGCTTGGTGAAGCCAGAACTCATGGTATCTCCTAGTTTCTAAATATTTTAGCATCAATATTTTTCAGTAGATTCTAGCAACTGTGTTTCTTCCTGGGAGGCAGTAAATTAGGAACAGCAGTGCCAACTCTACACATAAACAGAGGACTCATGGAATCTTCCTAGGGGAAATATAGAGAATTCCACACATTCTTCCTTTTTGTCCTAAACCACACTCTGCTGATCTAGTTTATCTGTGTGGAACTGGTCATCATTTATTTCAATTTCATTCTGATGGTGGATAAAATGTGTATTTCACATTGTATGATCGATTATTAGATTACCAGATGGGAGTAATTATCCTGCCAGTCTACGCAGTAGCAGGCTGTCAGCCAAGTCACTGACCCCAGCACCAGCAAGACACAGTTCTGACTCATTCTGTTTATGAATTGTTTTCAGAACAAGCCATTTCTCCATGGACTATAGATTTTTATTTTTCCCAAAATATGGCCATTAGGATTAGCTTCAGTTAAGTTCTTGTGCTTCTAAAAGATCCTAAAGTGAGAAAAAAAAAATATATATATATATATATGTGTGTGGGTGTGGGTGTGGGTATGTGTGCGCGCGCACACTCTTTCAGGCTTTAGGGGCATATTTTTGTGCCTAACAAAAAATTGATGTTGTAGGTTTGTTTTTACTTCTGTTATTGAGAAAAAACAGAAACAGGATTCACTAAGGACTTCCCAACTTGATCATGTATCCAACTCTAACCACAGGCTGCTGAACCCAGCTCTAATCCAATCAAGCAAGGAGCACCCAGACCCTAACCACAAAAGACCTGGTACTGTCCTTTTAGAGACTTTCCCAACCTGTTTGCCTGTCCGGAACAGCCCAGTATGCCTGATCCTTGAATTTCCTGAGAAACCAGTAGTAAGCAACACCCCCATTTTGAATATGTCACCCACAACCTCAGCCACATAGAACACCAAGACAGGTGCAAAGCAAAGTACTTTGTCCCAAAGTGGGTGGGCCAGAGGCCAAGGGGACATGGCCCCAGCTCCCCAACCCCATAAAAACGTTCGTGAGCTCTCATGAGGGAGGGAGCCAGGCATGGAACCTCTCTGCCACGCTGTCTCCTTTGTGCCCCAGCATAAGTCCCAATAAACCTTATGTGGGCTGCATACAGGCCTCTTCTGTTTGCATGTGAACCAAATGGGTGGGAATCACTGTGACACCTAATGGCTCCAGGCTGGGATCACGGCCCCTTCCTCTCCGGCAGGACCCTGTTGGCGAGGATAGAATTCCCAGCTGCTCAGATTTAGTACAAACAATCCCTGGCACTGGGGAGGGGGCAGGGTGACCTCCCAAATACAGGGGGAGGAAAATGGCCACTCTATTCCTTTCTTCCACTTTGAGGACTGTGTCCATATATTCTGTAACTCAATC